GTTGGTTTGTCACCTTGACCAAATACAAATACTAGAATTAAGAATTGAATTTCTTTTCCTAAAGCCTAAAGCCAGCCTATTTATATAAAAAGAATCCCCAAAAGAGGTGTGGCAACCTTGGTTTTATGATGTGGTAAACTTTTTTGGTTGGATCTTGGAACGGTTCTTGAATAGGAGAAGTCTTCTTAAAGTGAATCTTGATTTGATTGAAGTGAATCCTTTTAAAAGAAAACATCTAGACTGAATCTTAGTTTAGAAAAGTTAAGCAACTATTGTCTTGTGTTTTCTTGATGAGTTGTAGTTCACATGAAGAGGAAAAGATAGTGTGATTTGTACTTTTCAAGTAGAAGAGTGGATGTGCAATTTTGAACTTCTTTATAGGAAAAAGAAACTGTTGCAACTTAAGCTTTCTTGATAAACTTCTAGAAGCTATTCTATTTTGGTACGTTATAATTTCTCTCTTAGAAACTTCTTAGACGATTCAAAGTCTTGAGAAAATAACTTTTCTATTTTTAAATCTTTTATGTCAACTCTAGAACTCTTTTCTTCTTTTGAATTTCATGCAAATTCCTGCTATATATTAGAGTAAAGGAATGCCAAGTCAAAGTAGGAATTCCTCTTTTGACAAGGAATCAATAGTGATTTTGACTTTTGTCATTTAAATAGATTTTAAATTTTTTTTGCCACTAATCACTGCACATTAGCATCCAAGTAATTTCTTTTGGCCAATGGGATTTAACTTCTTGCCATGTCACTCCATAATGATCCCATGCTGTGTGCTTACATAGAACACTACGAACTCGCACTATTATCTTGAAATTCTAATTTGACTCTGAACTTTACATTAAGATTCAACACATTCTTGAACCTTAGGTGTGGCATAGCAAATTTTGAACCAATTTAGCACTTTCATTCCAAGATTCATTAAGAACTTGCCAAGAATCCATGAAGATTGCTCTTAATGTATCAAGAACTTATCAAGATTGATTGAGATTCTTCAAGATTCATTAAGATTTACCAAGATTCAATTTTTTCTTTAAGATTTCCTACAAAAAGACAAATTAAGCAAATTTAGGGTAAAAAGTACTTTTTTTACCAACAATAAAGAAAAATTCATGCATTTAAATACTGAAAATAACTTTATTTTATAGAGTTATTGCACCCCTAAACTTGAATTTTTACTTGTCATCAAGAAAAACATAACCTTGTTAGGATTAAAAAAAAAAAACATTCTAGAAATCATCATATTAACTTCCAATATCAAATTCTCATAAGTTCCTAAAAAATTCATAATGAGCATAACTTAAAGAAAATCATAAACATTGATTAAGCACAAAAATCATTCAAGAATAAGCATCCATTTAATTGGAATTTTTATGTGTGTATAGTTTATCTCATCTCAATGCAAGAAATTCAGTTGAGATTTTGCAAACATGAAATGAAACATAGAATCTCAAACATTGGCAAAAAAAAAAAAAAGAATCTCAAAGCATGATCAAATTTCATAAGTTTGTTTTTCACATATTCTTTCCACTAATGTAGATTTACACATTTAACCAAATATCAATAAGTCTTTATTAAGCTTGTAATGTAAGGTTAATGCTAAGATAAGATAAAGGAAAATTTATGATTCAATGCCCTTAAATATGTATTACTTAAGACATTTTTCAAGGAAAACATGCACCCCAAAATTAAAATCTTCTTTCTTTTTTCATAACTTTCTTTCTTTTATTTCTTTAAACACTTTTCAAACAAATTTTCATTTTTGAACTTTCTTTTTAAATTTTTGAATTCTATTCTTCAAACATATTTTCTTTTATCGATTTTAAACATAATTAAAAAAAATTTTACTTTTCTTTCTTCTTCAAATTATTTTCAAACTTTCATTTCTTTTCAAGCTCCACTGTACTTTCCAATGTAACGTAGCTCCTACATTTAACTTTGAATGATCCATATGCACATAGGTTAAGGTAAAAAGATAGAGAAAAACAATTCAAAGGGCTAGGCTTAAACATATAGGTGAAAAACAAAAGAAAAAAAATATTTATAAGGTTTAAATGGAGTGACTAAGGATAATATATCTAGGTTTGGCTTGAAAGGCTCAAACAATCTAAAGATGGCCTAAAATATCTCCCTAGTTAAATGTAGTATAGGATTTCACTTGAAGAGATGATGAAACAAATTCTAAAAATATGATCACAACTTCAAAGATCAATGTCATTCCATATTCACCTAAGCTTTCACTAAAAATCATGCAAATAAATAATTAGGACTAAGTGCTTAAAAAGTGAAAATATCACAATTAAAAATAAACTAACCCAAGAAATCATCTCATGCTTTCACTACATTCATTTTTTTAAAAAAATTATAGTCAAAGTCAATTATGTTCTTACCACTGGATTATAAGAAAATAATTAAAGGAAACATATCAATGACTCTAAGCAAAACATTTAAAAGAATAAAAGCAAAAAATTCAAAAAATTTTGAAAAAGTTTTATACAAATTTTCTCCTACTAAACTTAAACTTAGGTGGCACATTTGTCTTCAATGTGTAAAAAATAAAGAAAATAAACACATAAGGAAAAGAGAAACTTCCCTGTCCAAAAACCAAATAAAGCTTTAAAGAACTCCAAAAATTGAATATTATAGCTCCAGATTTCCTAGCTTTTTAGCTTTTAACTTCCTCAAGTTCTTTTAACTTCTTCCTACCTAAAAAATAAAACAAAAATAAGGCATCAGCTAGTCAACAGAAAAACAGAAAAACCTACTTAAAACAATAAAAACTAAAAATCAAAACTTGGGTTGCCTCTTAAAAAGTGCTAAGTTGTAGTAAATAGCTCGATTATTTCCAAAACTTCAACCATTTAAATTTACCACATCTTTTTTGTAGCAGCATTCATGTATTTCATAACTTTCTTTTTCATCACATTTTCCTTAGAATGGTGCTCTAAAACAATAGGTGTGCACATCTTCACAAACCAAATTTCTTTTTTTTTTCCTAGTTGAAATGATGTAAGGTTGCTTGGATAGCTTTTTCAATTGGCTAGTCCATCTTTATTCATGATTTCGATTTCTTCTTGTGCTTCTTCATAGTTGGACTTATAAGTTGGCTTAGGTTTCAACTTTACAAACTCATCCTTAACCAACTTTAAATCCCTATTCTTCTTCTTAATAACTTCTTTAAAAACATCCTCTTTGAAAAATCAAGACTACCTAACTTAAAACTATCTCTTGATCCTAAAACCTTATGATAAGCCCTGCATAACATCAATCCACTACAAGAAAACAAGTTTTCAACAACAAAAAATTACTGACAAAAAATTTTCATCGCTAAAAATGGTCATTATCAATGGATTTTTAAAATATTATCAATAGATTTTTGTGAATTGGATGTCTATCTGTACCAAGCAATTACATTGGTAATTTCATTTATAACAACAAAATATTATAGATGGAAATAAATTCCATCAGTGATTTCATCACTAATGGTTCGTGCCATAAGAATTGGAATGGCACCAATATTATCGACAAAATTTCATCATTAATTCCATTAATAATGTTGCTAATTTTGACGAATATTCTATTAGATATTTTTATATTTTCAATTGGTTTAAAATTAAAAAAATTAATTTTACTTTGAATTTTGAAATTCCCCTTATTCTTTTTCTCTTTCCTAGACACTCTTTTGTCAAAAGCTAGGGGTGAGAAAAAAAACAAAAAAATAAAAAATTGACTCAAAACTATAGTGTTTAGTTCAAGTTTCAAATCAGTTAGTGTTTTTATTCGATTTAGATTATATTTGGATATTAAATGTATATATTAGGTTCGAACCGAATTTTAAATCAAAAAAAAAAAAGAAAAACTGAACCGAACTCTATATTTTTATTAACTTATATATATTTTAATTTTTATAAAATAAAATAGTTATTTTATATTTAAATATATTTAAACATATTAAAAATCATATTAAAATATTATATTAAAAGTCATATTAAAATAATATATTAAAAATAAAAAATAAATTTAAAAAACTAATGAATTAATACAATTTGATTTGGATTGAATTAATTTTAAGAAAATAACGACTTAAATTTAAACTAAATTTTAAAAATTCATAATATTATTCATTATCAAAATAAATTCACTTAAATCCGATTCCATCCTAATTGAAACATTATCACCTCTACCCAAGTTTAGCCCACACCCCCTATATCGCTTTCTCTCCCTTTAGCACGATCCATCCTCCCACCTGTATTAGATTGGCGTTTTAACCCTTTCTTGTCGCTGACACCACCATATTTTTCTCTTTCTTTTCTTTTTTTTTTATGCTTCATTATCAACGTAATTTGGTTTATTAAACTTCCCTTCAATGAAACCCCAAACCCACAATTCGCAACCCATCCTCTACAAAACCCTAACCCCAAATTCCCTCCTTTCTTATGAGCCAAATCTATTGATTATAACTTGGACTTAAAAGTACAGGACCATTCTTTATATTTTGGATTGCTATTTTAATTTTGTTGCTTGTATGGCCCGCCGGCCACTGTTCAAAAAGTGTTATTGTTATTATAGGAAAGAGTGCGAGAGCTGCTGACGCTAACATTTTCGAGATTCTAAAAATGCAGCTATTATGGTATATTCAGCATAAAAAAAAGAAGCGATCGTATTGTATGGGGCATTTTATTATGAAAATAGAAACAAATTTTCCTCTTTAAATTTCTTCTCTCTTTCTCTCTCTAGTTCTTCTTTTTCTTCTTCATTCTCAATCCTCAGTTTTATGCTTCTATGCTGTCAATTTCTAGTAATAATATTAGTGTTGCTTCATTGGTATTAGAGCTTCGATCTTGACCATGGATGAATGGGTGAAGACTAGATTCTAGTTTGATGATACTTTGCTACAAAAACTGATGGAGCGCTTTGAATCCAAGTTGGAACAGTTGCGTAAAGATATTCAATTTGACTTTAAAAGTATTGTTTCAACATAACCAAATATCTGCTAGATTACACAATATTAGTGAAATGGTTGGTGATAATGAGGTGATTACGGAAGAGAATCAACAAGCTAAATAGGACACTTTAATGGTTCACTAATTCTTCCCAAACTAAACTCTGGAAACTTTCCTTTTATCTTTAATGAGGCTAAGGTTGATAAATTAGACAGTGAAATAGTTATAGGACTTGTTAAATACTCAATTATTAGTTCCAAGAATGTGCAGTCTTTTGTTGTTAGGAGTACATTTAAGTTTATTGGGATTGTTGATGCTTTGGAGAAAAATTGACTCATAAAAGCTTAATAGGAGCCCTTCGATAATATTTGTGATTGAAAATCGGTTTGTTGTTCTAGACGATGCATATAGGTTTAGGCCGTTAGTATAGGAAAGAGGAGAAATGGTGTTTGTAACTTGTGTTGTTGTTATTGTCTCTATTTACTTTTATGATTTTCAAAGGACATAAAACGAAGGATGTTGGTCGAATTGTGGGGTTAGAAGTTCTCCGAAATATCAATGAACCTACATTTGCCTCTTTAGCATATGGGTTTGAGGAGAACAACAAAAACATCGTTTTGTTTGATCATGGATGTGGTAAGCATTTGGGTGGTGGAGACTTAGATAAAAGAATTGTTGATTAGCTTGTTGACAATTTTAAGGGTGTCCACCTTATTATGGCTGAATAGGTTGAAGATATATTTGAAAAGATGCTTGGACAGATACTTGTTATCGAACAAATTGGGCCTCAAGGCAAGGCTATGAACGAGATATACCTTACTATCACTCTTGATTATAAAACTATTGATGTGCTTATAATTGCTTATAAAAAAGAATGAACCAGCATTGAAGACCTCATATAGAATACCTTGACATGGTTATTAAGGTGCCTGTTAATATTTTCAAAAGGATAATTAATGAAGATACTGCCAAACCTGATTTGAATTACACTGGCTTAGATGGAGAAATTGGTTGCATGGTGAATGGTACAAGGTTAGCAAAGCTGCAATGGATATGATTAAATTGCATGGGGAAACTCCAGCCAATTCTCTAGATGTAAGGGAAAATGCTTCTGAAGACCAGATGGTTGAGACATTTAAAGGGGAAATGCTTCTAAAGACCAGATGGATGAGACATTTAAAATTTTGATTTCTGATGGCAAAGTGAAGCCAATTGTGGTGAACATGTGTGAAGTAATAATGAAATGTGACATAATTGCACGTGGGATCGTTAAGTTTGCCGAACAAGTTTCCTTAAAAGTTCCTTTGATGGCTTGTTTTGAAGGAACCGATGTTTATCAAGGGAAGAAAAATTTGAAGGAAAGTCGAATGACACTCATAACAGTAGAAAAATTGGATGGTGCTGCAATTCCAATCGATATCTTACTTGGAAGCTTTTGGATGTGACAGCTTTGTTACTTGGTCTAGAAACTCTAAGTGGTGTTACGACCAAAATCGTTATGAGTAACACTGCATTTCCAACCTCTAAATTAGAAGTGTTTTCAACAATTGTGGAGGGTTAGGCAAGTGTTGATATTGATGTACTCCAAGTTCGAAGACAGTTTGTTAAGGATAACAGTTCTCTTAATAGCTTTGTTTGTGTTCTAGAAATTGAAGTCAAAATTGACATTGATGTTTTAGTGCATCGAGAGTTCAAGAGTTCAAGAGAAATAACATGGTTGGTTTGGATCAGTTTATTCCCAAGAATGCTACTCAATAATGAGAAAGAAATTGTTGCCCACCCAATTCTTACCGTAAAGTTTTTTGTTTTTCCCGTTCTCAGTGTTGCTATTTAAAGCAAGATTGCATCTAATCTTCCTAAATTTTTTGAAGTTCTAAAGTGTTTGGCTAAGTTTCCTTCTAGGGCTATTTGTACCATTGAAGAATTGGGAGAGAACATTGTTGTTAGTGCTAAAGAACTCTACCTTGACTACTGTCTCAATGATTTACAAAAAGATTTTAGAAGAGGCAATCAAATCATTCCAGCTGCAGTCACTGCTACTTTCGTATATGCTTGTCACCCAAGTGTGGAGAAATTTGTTCACCTAGTAATGCTAATAGAGATTGAGCTTACTGATTCTGTTACCATCTTCTAATAGTCCCTTGTTAGAAATGATGAGCTTTCATCTCATAAAAAATTGTCATTGTGAAAATTCTGAACTTAAATGTAGGTTCCTAAAGTCTTAATGAAGAAGCTAGGCAATGACACTCCAATAGCTTCCATTTTTACCATTAGAGGGAAGAATTTATTTTTAAAAAATTTAACTTGGGAGTGCTAAGCTTTGATCCCTGAAGAATTGATACAAATCCAAGGATATTCAATTGGATCATCACTTGTAAAGGAAAAAAAACTAGATCAAGCAGAGTCACTCCTTGAGAAGACCAAGGTAAAAGGGGTGTCCCTTAACAAGTTTGTTGGTGATGCTAACAGCCTAGTAGTGCCAGCATCTAAGATTATAGAAGGGTGGACGAGGTTGGATGTAAAACTTGACTTTATCAAAACCTTTATTGAGGCTTTGAACACTAACAGCATAGGCATGCTTGATGACAATGTTATTATGATACAAAAATGATCTAAAGTTTTGGGAAGAATGATGGTTACAAGAGGAAACAAGGTTGTCGTAGAAGTCTTGCTATAATGGACAAACTTCATTTCAAAAAATGATACATAGAAAATCCTATTTGCATTGAAGAAGTATCTGCAAATGATCCCATGAGGACAAGGATATTTCCCATGGAAAGAGCATTGATACATGCCAAATCTATTGGTCATAACTTGGGTTAAAGTACTGCATCTTTTTTATATGTTGGATTGCTATTTTAACTTTCCTGCTTGTAAGGCCTACAAACCATTGTTCAAAAGAATGTTTTTGCTATTAGAGGAGAGAGTGCAAGAGCAGCTGATGCTAATATTTTCGAGATTCTTGGAATGCAGCAGTAATTGTAAGTCCAACATAAAAAGAGGAACAATGATATTGTATGGGGCATTCTATAATGAAAATAGAAACATGTTTTCCTTTCAAAATTTTCTTCTCTCTTTCTTTCTCTGCTTCTTCTTTTTCTTCTTCAATCTTAATCCTATATTTTCTACTTCTATGCTTTCAATTTCTACTAAAAAATATTAGTGTTGCATCAACTTCTTTCCCAATTGTCAATTTTTTTAGGGTGAAAAAATCCAAAGCTTTAGTTCCTTTAAGGTTTGGTGACAATTTAAGCTTCTTTATTTTTATGAGAAATTTTGAATTTTTTGAATTAATTTTTACCAAGTATTGGTTATTTTATGAAAAATTGAACTTTTTATGATTAATTTTAGTTTGGATTGTTTATTTCTAAAAAATTTAGACATTTTTTAGGATTAGGATTTTAGTTTGGATCCTTTGCCTTTCTAGGATTCTCTGTTTCTGAATTGTTATGTTTTCTAGGAAAGTTGTTCTTTTTAAGGTAAGGTTTGTGCTAGATTGCTTCACTAACATACTTTGGTGCATGTTTGATATTTAGCTTGAGACTGTTAAATAGATCCTCACTTTCCAAATACAAACCAAACAAGGCATTGCTTCACACAATATATAGAGTACCATTAGTGAGTTAAAGTTTGTTTATGGTTTATTTTGTATCTTATAAAGGTATAAAGGTTTGTTTCTTCTAGCAATGTTTCTTTATCCTTTCGTTTTATATAGTTGTGTAGCTATAAAAGGAGAAGGTGCTCCAAAGTGTGATAAGTTTGCCAAGTAGTATCACGCCATATGTCCTGGAGAATGGATGTGTATTTGGAGGAAAGAGAATATTTTAAGGTTTAATGGGCAAAACAAGGGGTTTTAAGTCGTAAAAATTTTGGTTTGGAAATTGTGAAAGGATTAGGTTAAGAGGATATGATGAAAGGATTTAGTTTTGGACTTTGGATTGCATCCATGCCTTAGGAACAAAATCAATTTTCAGTGTTGTCCAGTTCTACTACGATACAATGATTACACAAGAAGCTAAGTTAAAAAAAATGCTTAGTTTCCCATGGATGTAAGGTTTTTTGTTTTCCTCTTGCTATGAAGCTGTGGAAGCATGGATTATTTCTTTAAGATTTAGAGTATCTATTTGGTTTTTTTTTTTTTTTTTTTGAATATTGTACTAAGGTTTCTGATATTAGAGCTGCATCCAAGCAGGATGCTAGTGCTTTTGGGGGTTTCTATACAAGCGATATGTAAAACGTTAGTTTAAACTGATTGAGTTTATGATTGTTTGAAAGGAAGTATGGCACGTTTTGGTTCGTAGTTGGTTGTAATAACTTTATGAAGAAAGGGATAAAAAACAAGATAAAACTTAAATGAAATTTTTTAGGTGAAGTTTGTGAAGTTTCTTTATAAAAATGAATTAATAAAAACTTAAATAAAAAATCCAAACCAATAGATAGATAAAGTTCAATGTGAAGATCAATAATATGTAAAAAAATAATTATTAAAAATATTGTTTATAATTCAAATTTGATTGATACTTATTCAATGATAAAAATTTTATCAATATTTTTACTAACAATGTCTATATAAAAATATATACCAAAATTTATTAATTTTTTTTAATTTTGCGCACTTAATCTATGTAGCAAGATCCTTCAATCTATCAGTTTTGATTTTTGATTTTAGTTTTTACTTAGTCTTTTCTAATAGAAAACTTCACAAACATCACCTAAGAAACTTCATCTAAGTCTTACCCTAAAAAACATGGAGAGTTTTGTGTCAAGTGCAACACTTTTAACTCATACACTCTTCACATTGTTTAAAATTATAATGGGACTACGGGAGCTAATAATTTGAACGTAGAAAAAAAATTTTCCTTTTGAACGTATTTGAGATCAATAATTCTTACCTCAAGACAACAAGGGATATAATAGGTTGAGTCATTTGTATGTTAATGGAAAGGAATGCTAATAGGAGGCAACAAAGGAATAAGGGAGTAAGTGCTTAAAGCTATGTTTGATGCATAGACAATAGATAGATTAAGATGATAGTCATTCTATATTATATATGTTTGTTTTGTATTTAAAGAAAAGATAAGATTATAAGTACGATTAGTCATCTTTTTGGTATAAGATGATTTAATTCTTTGAAGATAGAGAAGATTATTTTTAATTTATGGGATTGAACTTATATGTCCTATTATACCCTTGATAATTACATCAATAATTTAAATTTATAAACTTTGAATAAGGATAATATTGATAAATAAATAAATTATTCTATCATAATCTTTGTACATATCGAACATAAGATAAGATAACATTATTTAAATTAAAGAAAAAGATGAGATTATAAGAAAGATTAGTCGTCTTTTTTATTTAGGATGATTCAATTCTCTCGAGATGGAAAAGATTATTTTTAATCAATGGGATTGAACTTATATGTCATATTATATCCTTAAAAATTACATTAATAATATAAATTGTGTAAACTTTGAGTAAGGATAATATTGATCAATAAATAAATTATGCTATCATAATATTTGCACACATCAAACATAAGATATGATAACATTATTTAATCTAATCATATTCATAATATCATTTTATCTTATCCTATCATAATCTTATACACCAAACACATCCTAAAATTACAAGATTTGTCATGTGTCTATATCTAACATATTAATTTCGTAGATAAAGAAGAAAGGTGGGAGTGTCCACTTGGCACCCCATTCTTCTTTCATTCTCTATTTTTTGTTTTTATAATTTTGTTTGGTTTTTTAATTTTATTTTTTATTAGTTAGATTTTGTAAAAAAAAGTATCAATGAAGGTAGAGATGATAAAATAATTTGTATTGGATTGGTTTGGATTAATATTAATCTAACATATGTACATTTTTTTTAAGAAAAATTGAGATCAGGTTGCAGTTCTATTTTTGAAAATAGAATTAGGTTGAAGATAGAATTAAGGTGTTTCGTTCCGTTTAGGTGTCCATGTGGCACCTCTATCTTTTTTTTTTATTTTCTTTGTTTTTTAAAACTTTTTCTTTTATTTGGTTTCCTTTTTTAATTTTTTACTTTTGTTTTTTATTAGATAAATCTTGTAAAAAAAATTCAATAAAAATAAAGATAATAAAATAATTTGTATCAAATTGGTTTCAATTCATCCCAATCCAATTGGTTCATTTTCTTTTAATAAGGGAAATTTGGGTTGAATTTTTTTTTAAAAAAAATTAAACTCAAGTAAAACTAAGGTTTTAAAGGTTGCATCTTGACCTTGGTATATATAAAAATATATATTTTATTATTTATTTAATTCTATATTTATATATGTATTTTATTAAAAAATATTTTTGATACTTTAATTTAATAAATTCACGTGTGGCTTCTTTTTTGTTATTTCATTTTTTTTAAATTATATTTATTAGATAAATTTTGTTAAAAAAAATCAATGGATGTAAGAACAACAAAATAACTTATATCTAATGAGTTTTGATTTGTTTTGATCCAATCGATGCAATTTTTTAAATAAAAATTAAATTAAGTTTTGTATTTTTAAACAATTAGGGTCAAATCAAAATCAAGTTTATGGCGTTCTGTCTTGATCTTCTTCAAGATATATAAAAAAATATATTTTATTATTTATTTAATTTATATTTATATATGTGTTATATTAATAAAATATTATTTAATACTTTAATTTAATCAAAAACTATCTTTATATATAATGAGATTATAATTTATATTAAAAAATATATTTAGATTTGTTTATATGTTATCACTATTTAAAACTTGACATAAAATTCTATCATATTTAAAATATAACTTTAAAAAATAATAAATAATTCCCTAATGAAGCGTAAGTCTAATTCTAGTGCATATAATATTTGTAGTAATTAATGCTATATTGTTCAATGTACGGGTCTTTAGAACTTCATTTGTCGATGTATTTATTGACATAGCTTATTTGTTGGTTTATGTTGGGTGAATGCCAGTAGTTACTACTGCCATATGGTGTATTTGTTTAATCCATATTAATAAAAATATGATTTAGCAAAAAAACAAAAAAAAAAAGGAAAATGACGAAAGATCCAATAGTGCAGAACATGGATTTTTTTTTTTTTTTTATGTCAAAGCCAATCTCGAAAG